ATAAACTATAAATATATATTAACTAATAATAAACTATAAGTAATAAAGTATAATCTATATAGTAGTAGACTTTTATTTAATATTATAAATAAGTTAAGCTATTAAGAGATTTATTAATTTTATTAACTACTAAAGTATTTATTCTAAAGAATTATATTAAGTCCCTTAATATATTTATATATTACTTAGAGCTATATAAACTATATACTAAGTAGATATATAAAGTTATATAGTAGGTTTCTTTTTCTATTTTTTAGTAAATATTATCTTAATTTTTTATAATAAAAATAGACTTTTTATTAGTTAAATAGTATAGGAATAAAATAACTAGCTAAATTAGTAATATTTTAATAAGTAGATTAACTACTATAGAAGTATAAAATATATACCTTATATCTCTATTATATAGTTATATATTTAAATACTACTAAGATTATAGTAATTAATAGTAATTAAAGTATTAGTAATAACTTTAATACGTTTTATATATAATATAGAGAAATACGCGTTATAGCATAAAATTAGCTTTTTTTCATGTTTTTGCATAAGCAGGGAAAAAAAAGGGGGGCGGACGCTGTTAACATAATGGAGTGTAGGTGGAGAAAGGAAGGGTCACAATTGATCTGGGTTTAATATGGATATTGATTTGCAGGCCTCGATTGGTACGTCTAGACCCACGAACCTATTCCTCTAGGTAAGCGGTAGGCTGAGAGTGCCAATTTCCTCCTGCAATTCTGCCAGCAGGCCTGGCCAGCCCTCCAATCGGATGGCCGCCGCTTAAAAGAGGATTTCACTATCACTGAGCCTCTATCCGCACACGTGTGCGGCACGGAATTTAGCTCTGTACCGGGGTACGTTGACGCAGCCTGGTTGTCCAGCTCCGCCTTCGCACCATGAAGACCGACTTTAGGGGTGCAGAGAAGAAGTTTATCTACGTAAATGACAGCATCCCTTGCCTGGATGCTATTGTCGGGATGAACGCTAACAGCCCCAAGCTATGATGACAGCACTGTAAGATTTGCAATCACAGCGGACCGGCCACGTTCCTCGGGGTCAACATCGCCAGAGACGCGGCATCATGGGAAGGGGCAGCCGTGAGAGGCACGATTGGCCCTGTTGGAAGACCTATCCGCACGATAATCAGTATGTTTGTTGAGGGAATAGGTATGGATCGTCTCGGGCAGACCTAGGTGATTTTAGACAGCCGATAGAGATATGACGCAACAAGAGGATCGTATCCATTTATGAAGCCAACGAAGCACGCAGGAAGAAGGATCAGGCGTCAAGACCAGCAGTGGCTAGGTGACAACGCATGTCGCTGCCGTGAGCGTCTGTCCGGGGTCCCCACCAGACTCAGATCTCGGCCGAAGAAATTCCCATGGTCTCCGCATCCGGGAACCGGCAAGTCGGACCGTTTGCCAAGCATTTGGAATCTCATGTCTCATTGCCAGTGAATCGGAATCCTAGACATTGTCTTGCATCCTTTCCGCCGCGCTCCTAAGCTGCTTCAAGAGAATCCGACAAAAGTTCTTCATATGGCCCTCATCACAGAATTTCCCAATCTAGGCAATTTGACGCAGGGCATGCTGGGGCCCGTATTGGGCGGCACGGGACACTCGTGATTTGCTGTGCCCGCAATCCAGCGAGTTCCTCGACATTGACAACCTACCTATACATGCCTCGATAGCCTCGGCAAAACAATCCAACTAAACGTCGAAAGCTCGGGTCGGGGAATAGGAAATAATCCCACGCCAGAAACGCTATTGCCATCGCCGTTAAGCTAAGGCAAGTAAGCTTCATGGGCAGTTAGATGGCTTTGTTGCCAGCCAGGCAAAACGCCACTTATGCTTTACGGTCAAGATGCTTCAACAGACTTCGTGGCAAACTTTCCGCGGCGAACAAAGACCGCCAAACAATCGCTGTTCTATGTTCTCACGAGCATATTGGTGGTGGAATCAAAGTGTCCACCCTTCTCTCGTGAACGCACGAGTTCTTGCTGTCGTCCTCATCATCCAATGTATCACCACATAGCAACCGGCTTTACTCTTAATTCAGCACGGTCTTGACGTGTCAATTAAGCATTTGCTCAGGCTTCTAGATAAATCGAGGATGCCATATGTGTTGTAGTTGTCCCGAAGCGGCCAAGCGTAGACGGCCATGTTCGGCTCTTCTCCGTGTCTTAGACGTGGAACGAGCAACACCGCATGGCTTCCAATCAGAGGTCCCTAGAATCCGATTTCAAATATAGAACGTCATCCTCGAGTCTTAGACATGGTAAACACGCGCCGGCCCGCGCTTTCCAGAACAGACGCTCAATGTTTACCCACTTTGTCGCACTGCCTCCTCCCTCCCCCGGACTCTGCTCCGTCGAGTCTCGGCGCAACCAACCAGCCCCCGGTGACGCTGACCCTATGTCATACTTTAGCCCGTTTCCGATTCTGGTGTCCCTAAGGGACTCGCTAGTCTGCCCGACGTTACACCGGTGGGAAAACATTCCGGGGTTTTGTTGCCAGGCGCCGCCGCTAGTCAGCCCGCCATGAACGACGCCAGGTCCGCGGTCCACATAGCGAGGCGCTAGCACTTCGGCACGTTTGCTTCCCGTCTGTTGTCGCACTTTTATCTGCGCCCGCGACTCGTTTATCGTTGAGTTGTCCAGTCTTGGGTGGTGCGCTACTTACTTTTACGGGTGTGCTTATTGGCCCGGCTCATTTCCATCACGCTTTACCCTCCCGAGATGGGGATCTGCAGAGATCACGATAGATTCGGCTGGTGCAATTGATAGTTGAACTTCTGTGGTGAGACCGTCTCGGCTTGGAAGGGGCACGTTGACCTTTGCGCATCATCGTGCCAAGCGGTTCAAGCTCTTCAGGGGAGGAAATAGTGGTGTTGGCGGGAATAGTAGCGACTCGGGGAATTGGCCACTGACCTCATGCTTGGGGTCCGGTATGTTTAGGTCGTGTAAAGATTTATCACCAAAACAAAAGCAATGCTTAGTTTGATGGCTGAAGAATGGTATATAAGATTCGAAGTCATCTGCTGCACAACTTACTCGACAAGAGATACGACAGCGTCAAGATCTTGCCTCAACTCTCGACACTAGTCAACCATACTCACCCTCAACCGTCAAGATGAAGTACCAAACCACCATCCTGGCCACATTGGCCACATCAGCGACAGCTTTCCCCTCTATGATGGGATCCAGACAACAACTTGAGGAGCTCCTCAAGCGCAAACCTGAGCCCGTCGCCAACCCAGAGCCTCAACTTCTTGGAGGCGTGATCGGAGGTCTCACTGGAACCATCAGCGGACTTCTCGGTGCCGTTGCCCAGAACATCAACCCTGCAAATGCGCGTCCAGAAAAGGGCTTCGAGTTTAAAGCTCCTGGCCCTGGAGACAGCAGAGGACCTTGCCCAGGCCTCAACCTGCTCGCCAACCACGGCTACCTCCCCCGTAATGGTCACGTTACTCTTGGCCAGGTCATTGAGGCGACTGCTCGTGGCTTCAACATGGGCGCCGATCTCTCAACTATCCTTGGCGTCTTCGCTGTCCTAGCGGACGGCGATATCGCCACCGAGTCTTTCTACCTGGGTGCTGGACCAGGTGGTGTTGGTGGTCTCAACCGCCATTCTACTGTTGAGGTAAGTCTAAGCGATGTCCCACCTTCGATCAGCATAATCTAACTAAATACTGAAGGCCGACATTTCGGTCAACCGTGAGGATTTCTACAACGGATGCGGTGACAACCACCACGTCTCATCCCGCATGTTCAAGCAGAACGTCGACATTGTTGCCAGCAGTGCAAGCAAACAGTTCGATCTCACCAACATGGGCACACAGTACCAAAAGAACTCCATGTTCTCTCAAAAGTACAACCCATACCTCTACTACTTCCCCTTCCCCTTAATCGTCTCGCTCGGTGCTTTTGCATTCTACCCTCAGGTAACCCCTCCCTAACAAACCCCGCCGTAACCCTGGATGCTGACTTGTCCCAGTTCATGAGCAACGGAACATATGGAGCCGGCGGCGTCGCCAACTATGAGTCCATCTCTTCCATCATCGGCGCCAAGTACGACGACAAGACCGGCGAGTTCCAGTACGTCCCCGAGACTTGGCCCAAGAACTGGTATCGCCGTGCCACTCCCTATGGCGCAGTCCAGACTGTCCTCGAGGGCCTTCTTGACATCTATATCCGCAACCCCGTTGTTCCCGGCGTTGCTCAGCTCGGTACTGCCAACCTCAACGCCACGACGGTTCTTTGCGACCTGTACCAGGGCATGAACTCTGTCGTCCCTCTCTTCGTCGCTGGTAGCGAGGAGCAGGTCGCCGCTGCCACCACCTGGGCCATCGCTAAGTTGGACCCCTACTTCAGCAACACTGTTCTCGGATGCCCTCTCAGTGTCCTGTCTCCCAACGACCCCTCATTCCTGTACCCTAATGCCAAGAACCAGGGCGGTCCGCTCAACACGCCGCCAAGTGTTGCGAAGAATGTTGGCGACAACGTCTACTACAAGACATACTTCACTACTGCACCTACTTCCCCGGCCTGTTAATTAGACTAAAGCTGTAATGTTTATGATCGCTTTCGGGCGGTCACGGCGGGTATGATAGGGTGTAGATGGTTGGACGATTATTCTAATGACTAGATGACGCAGTTCTTTCAATGTTTGTACCAAGAAATAATACAAATTCACATGTTCAAAAAGCTTTTCTCGTCAAGTCAAAGGGCGCAAACTCACTCACCCTGAGATCAGGCTTGTGCAAACTTGCTCATCATAACTGCTCTACATCGCCGATGGGGACATCTCGGCGACAATCGGGCACTTCTCGGACACTTTTCACACCTACATATTAGTGAAATCCAGCAACCCAAACAGTTGGCAAATCTAATGATCAAATCTTTACTAACTCGCGGCTTTGTTCATTCTAGTACTCATCACACTAGCGAAATGTCTAATTCAGACCGGGACATGATTGCCACCTCTCGTGGGATGCTAGCCAAGATGGCATCGCCATTGCTGACTCAGATGGGTATCACGAACATCACATCTCAACCGGTGGATTTCTTCGACAACGCATGCGGCACCGGGGTTTTAACTCAAGAGCTGCATTCAATGTTGACCAATGAGATCATCCAGAAGAGCTCTTTTCTGTGCGCGGATAAGGCTCAGAACATGGTCGACATGGTGAAGAAAAGGGTCGCTGACGAAGGTTGGACCAACACAAAAGTTACGAACTTGGATGCAATGGTATTATCTATCACCTGTAAAGGCTTCGGCGACGCATGCTGATGACTGCGCAGAACACTTCTCTTCCTGATGACACTTTCACGCATATCGGACTCGGCATGAGCCTTCACATGATACCAGATCCAGACGCTGTTTTGAATGGTTAGTCCACACGCCACTACCTTGTCCCGACTTCAGTCTAAAAAAAGTTACCACAGACTGCAAGCGCCTTCTCAAGCCAGGAGGCATACTCGGCGCCACAACCTTCCACCGCAACAATATCTTCTGGGTCCCAGACATGCGCTCCGCCTTCGCCTCATTTCCCTTCACAGCTCCCTTCCCAGACGAAGTGCCCATGCAGCTCCATGCGCAGGGGGTTTGGACAGATCCCGAGTGGATCGAGGAGCATCTCAGAAGTCAAGGCTTTCAGGATGTCGTGGTGAAGGTTGTCGCCAGGAAGCACCACGTGAAGAACGCCCAGGATTTCGTTGCCACTTTTGGGGTGATGCTTGGTTGGTTTTTGGCGTCATGGTGGGATGAGGAGACGCGTACAGCGCATCCTGTGAGTGAAGTACGGGGGTTGGTGGAGAAGCATTTGGAGGAAAAGTACAATGGCGATGGCTGGGACGTTGAGTGGACGTTGATCGTCTCAACGGGTGTCGTTGACAAGGCTGTGGAGCGTGACGCCTAAGCACTAGGCCTCTGTACACTGCCTATGCAGGTAGTATGTATGTTAAAACATAAGGTAAGAGGCATGTTGTCAAATGATAGGCTTAATCGAGGCCGCTTCGAATTTCGTAACTGTTGGCCTTTGTGTGATGTTAGGTGTGGTGCCGGTCCATCTTAATCTCAACGAGAGGGAGGTTCTATCACATACGACCATACCCATTGGAAAACTCGGGATCCCGTCCGCTCTCCCATCGATAAACCAGTGAGGGCTGGAGTAGTAGTCGGGTCGGTGACGACCGGCGAATGCCCGGTGTTGTATGTAGTTTTTGTTTTTGCTCTTGTTCCTGGTTGAAGGTGGGTGACGATATCCAACTCTTTGACCCGCGAGACCCTCCAAACACAGCGGGCTCACCCAGGTTCAAATCGAGGATTCCATAATTAGTAATAACGCCCTGACGCAAACCCATCTTGGAAACTGTCGTATTATTGCTTCCGAATCATCTTGGTTAAGCTGGTCTAGGTACTTGTTCTTCCGGGGCTTCTTCGACGATTCAAGTTCGAAAGGCTGTGAATATCCCACATTAAGTTTCCTTCTCTCCCCGCTTGGGATATATAACAGTGATCAATGATACCATGGATGTTAAGTGGACATTGATTGTTTCTCCATGTACTGTTAACAAAGCTGCGTGATATAACGCTTTAATGAACAACCCTTCAGGTCTAGTAGCCCCTTTCTATCTAATTGAATTGGGTTGAATCATCAAGTTGATTAAAGAAGCAATTAGTCATTCAGGGATCATCGTTCAAGCGGGTTGCAAGCCAACAAAAGTTCCCGGCGCTGGGAACTGGATTCCGTTGATCTCCTGCTCGCTGAACAGGAATTCGCGGTCATTTTCGATGTCAGCAACAACACGTCTCTCATTCTGCGGCGGGTACTTCGAAGGCGTCTCTGGTTTAGCGTCGACCAGGCAGGCTCGGCCATCCACAGCTTTGACGTGGTCAGCGTTGATGCCAGGGGTCGTCCAGAAGACCATGTTTGGGTCCAGCTCCGACTTCAGGGCAGAGAGGCGGGGGTAGTTTGAGCCCCAGAAGGAAGCCGACCAGTTGGGCTCGTCGGCACTGGCCTAAGTCATTGTGAGCGTAGTTGAATTCAAGGGGATGAGATTGACAGACCTCGCATATGTAAGTGCCCATGTTGGGCGCCAGCTCGCGGAGTCCGTCGACGTTGGTAGTATTGGACTTGAATCCGTTCAGAAAGACAGTAGCATTCCTCCAACCGGGGTTAACGGCGGTGTCTGATCCGTCACCAACGGCCATGCCTGGCGTGGTCATCAGGATGCCGAAGTTTCCCCCAGTCTTTCGGAGGGCATATGTAAGATTGGGACTCTTAAGGTGCTCCTCGCCCAAGAGACGGCTGTCAAAGGGGACGATGCCGTGGTTGCGAGGTGGGTCGGTAGAGTTGAATGACTCAAGAGCCCCGTAAGTCTCCCGGAAGAACTCCTTGTAGCTGTTGAAATTGAAATGCTTGCTCTGGAAAGGAGTCATCCCCTCGAAAGACTGCATCTTCTCGAGGATCGGGCCACAAATTTTGTTCGCAGCCTCAGCGTTTGCCAATGAGCCCGGGTGGATGGCGTGACACCTGATGTTGTCATTCAAAACGTAGAAATACGCAGAGATACCCTTCTTCTGGAGTTCCGGCAGCTCTGAGAACAAGTATGCGAGAGCTTCGCTGGTAGGAGTTTTGCCATTCTCTGCGTCGGTTTCGTTGACCACGAGGGTGGAGTTGATGTACCAATGAAAGCCGAGAATGGGGACAGTGGGATACACCTTCCATGTTGCTTCGACGACGACACCGAACGTGCCACCCCCGCCGCCTCTGATGGCCCAGAAGAGATCGGGGTTGGACACCTCATTGGCCACTCGAATTTCACCGTCCGGTGTGATTACCTTAGCTTCGAGCCACTGGTCTACACCGATGCCGTACTGTGCAGTGAGCGGCCCGTATCCTCCATTTTGGCCCCAGCCACCTCCGATGGCTACTCCTTGCTATTAGAAGTTAGTCCCGTTAGGTTCCAGGTTGTGGGAGGATTAGGGGTTCGTACAGCTGTGCCGCCCACAATGAACAAGCCAGATGCGTCAAGATCGTAGTTCAAGGCCAGACTTCCCACAGCCGGATTGAACGTGACCGCCGCCTGAGAACCGCTCTCGGGTTGAATAGTCTTCAATTCCTCATCGGAAGCAGGACTGGCAACGCCTTCCTTGGTAGCAGTGAAAGACTTCGACACTCTAGCGCCTCGAAGAAGTGACAGGTCAATGATGAGCCCGGAACCGGCGTCACTGCGGCCGAGTTCGTCGTGTCCGGTCGTAATGACAGTAAGGCGAATGTTGTTCGAGGCAGCAAACCTGACGGCGTCTTGAACCTCCGAGTAGCTCTTAGCACGGATACGATAGTCGGGAATCAGTCCGTTGGCGTCGCTGAGAGTCTGCTTGACGATCCCAGGCAGCTTTGCTTGCCATTCTTCAACCGCGGGCCAGTCATCATCGGTATGGAGCTTAGAGCACCCCGTTGGCGCCACAGCCGCCGAGCATGCTTGAAGTCCGAGAATGACTGTAAAGAAACGAATGAATGAAAGGTTGGAGTTAGCCATGTTTACACGACTGTCAAAGATGTTCGTGAAAGTGTGTAGAGAAGTCTTGTGAAAGTGTAGAGAGAAGTCTTTTACAACGAGACCTTCATTCGGTATATATATGCTCATCTAAGTACCTAGCTCCCATGCCCCAAGAATGAGGTCACCTGTGGTTTTCCTCCTCCAGAGCTCCGTCGTGATCTCTCCTCGCTCTCTCGTATTTTCACTTCGTATTGCCATCGCTCTCGTTCGCATTCTTATTGGTACCCCATACCGGCCCTTTTTTTGTTTGCTCCCTATTATTCGGCATTCTCGGCTGTGGGCCTTTTTGGGCTTTGGAAACGACTGTTCAGGCTTTGCTTAATATCGAGACGACAGTGTTAGCAAGACTCCGTAGCATTAAATCAAGTTAGCCCCAAAGCTGAGGCTGTGCCCCTTGATCTTCAATGACATTTTAGCGTTACGTTGGACGAAGGCGACTGGCAAGAGCTGCGATCGCCGCTTGAATACGACGTATTCCATCAACTGCTGCGTGACGTGGGTACATCATTAAGCGGAGACAGCTGGGGCCCTGGCCTCCTACCGCTAGCGCTTAAGTTCAAATACCGCGAATTTGGACGAGTAGACGATATGCAGTTGCATGACGGAACCCGTCCTCGCGCCCGAATCCCGTCTGTACCCGAGGAGCCGGTCACATCTCTTTGAAGCTAGGCGCGCCCGGCGCTCGTAGCTACCCGGGAATTATAAGACTTGATTTTTTAACCCCCTACACATAAGTAGGGGAGGGGAGCCTGCGCGCGCAAAGATCCTCGGACGGATTGATCAAGCCACTTCACACAGCAGTGGTTGGGATATTATTTGCCAACTTACTTTCACTTATAGCACTGCCCTCGTTCGACCTTTGCCAGTCGAGCAACCGGGTGTTGCGGAGGCCTTTTATACGGAGCTTTTCAGCCTTCATGGGAATAAATGGCAAGATGAAAATATGGCAAGGTCTTTGCGAGAGGCGGTGATGCGAGAGCGGGATAAGGAATTGAGCATGCCTGTTCTCTGGGCCCCGTTCATCCATTACGGTATATAGGGCATGGGAGGGCAGTAGGCCGCAGTAGAATGGCGGGCCTCGTTAGCATAGGACAGAAAACTTCTCTGGAATTGGGTATTCGAGAAATTGTAAATTGAAGCTGATCTAAGACATTGAGCCAGCCGGTCAGCAATTGCGTATCGGAGTGGTCGGCGGGGGTTTGCGGAGGTTTGCGGACATCGGAAAGTTTACCGTGTTTGGTGGCAGATATTCAGATCACGTTGTCAGCTCTTTGACCCTTTTCCAACCCCTCTTACATGAGTAGTTACACATGCGGACTCAAATTTGTCAGTGAGCAAAATGATTGCGGAGTTATGGTTCTGTGTCAAGAGAGAGGTGCTTCGACTACATTACCCCTCGCCGCCGTGCTCTTGGTCGTGTTCGGTGTCTATCAACAAGCAATAAGAAAGATTCGGCTTCGACTCATACTCATACAATTTCTTCCGTTACTACTGCACGTCGCATCGGAAATATGCCTCAGGATCCCGTTCCTGTCCCGACGGCGATTGCCCACATTGGCTTGCGAACGAGAAACCCGGATAAATTGGTCTCTTTTTACCAAGACCTTCTCGGTGCAAGACTGGTTATTACCAACGACTTCATCTCCGTTCTCACCTGGGACGAAGAGCATCACCGGCTCGCCATAATCCACGACGCGACGGCCGTCCCAAAGCAGACCAACGCGAGCGGAGTGGATCACATCGCTCTCAAGTTTGCTTCGGCCAAAGACCTTGTGCAAGTGTACCGTCATGCAAAAGAGGCAGATATCACGCCAAAGTTCTGTCTTAACCACGGCGTGACAACAAGTCTGTACTACACGGACCCCGACGGAAACAATATTGAAGCACACATCGAGGCCTACAGTGACCCCGACGATGTTCAGAGGCACATGAAGGCTATAGATCCGTCCAACATTAGAGCAGTGAGGTTTGATCCTGAGGACCTTCTTCGGAGGGTCGAAGCCGGGGAGGACGATGAAAGCTTGAAGAGGGCTGGGCTCCTTGGTCCACAGCCAGCTTCAATCGGTACTTCGACGGCTGAAGTGGCTGCTGGCGGATAGTGAGATGGAACAATTCTTGAACAAAACTCGCTATATGAAAGCCTCAATATGGCCTTGATGTAATTAATCATCAAAGCATAGTAGTAATTCAATAGCTGCCCCCTTACAGGTTAACCCAGTTCTATCACAATTCAAGACCCAATTCTTCGTAGAAAGCCTCCATCTTCGCCTCCCTAACAAGAAATTCTTGCAAAGTAGTCATCTCCGGCTGGCTGCCACCCTTCTCCAAAACACCGTACCGATACCTTCGACCCGCTTCAACACTCATCGGATCGCTTTTGAACACGGTGGAGAAGATATCTTGCGCATAAACCTTTGAACTAAACAACAGATTAGAAAGGTTCGAAACTGAAGCTCAAAAGCACTTACAACAGGTAGCTGTAGAACCCAGCGTCATACTCGTTCATGAAGTGCCCGATATTGGTGTATCCGTGCCCCCACTCGTCGCCAGCACCCAAGGCGGAGAGGTCGTCGGTCGGGACGATCTCCCGCCGAAGGCGATTCCACAATGTTGTGAAACTCTGATCCTCACTTCTATCATTAAGTTGATGGACAGCCATGTCGAAAGTTCCGATAAAGAGCTGATGCAAAGTGTCCAGAGCCTTGTTCGCATGCTTCGCCTTTAGGAGACTTTCAACCATTGCCCGCGGCAATGCCTTTGGTGGCTGCATGATATCTTCATTCTTCCCTATCTTACACTTCCAGGTATTCAGGTAGTCGTCGGACAGATATGAGTAGTGGTGACTGAGGGAAATGATCTGTTCGGGCGTCCAGCACCAATTCTCGAGGACTTGACTCGGCGCCTCGCCGAAGTCGACGACAGTACCCATTGGCCCATGGAAACGTGCGAATTTCGTGCGCGATACAAGGTCGTGAATGCCGTGACCCAGTTCGTGGAAGAGAACAACGACGTCCGGGTGACAGAGGAGGGTGGGCTTTGAGGCACTTGGGTGCTGGAAATTGCAGACCAGGGCTGTAGACGGGTAGTGTTTCGCTCCATCCTCTTTGCAACACCCCTGACAGTGTTAGTCTAAGTTCACAGAAAAGAAAAGAGCAGGACCTTACAGGGATAACACTGAAGTTGGACGGGTTTGAATACTTCCCTTCACGGCTGTAAAGGTCCAGGTAGAGGTATCCGAGGAACTCGCCGCCTTCTTCATCTTTGTCCCAGACGGAGAAAATTTGTACATCTGGGTGCCAGACTAGATCATCTCCTTTTCCAGTGGAAGACAATGAAGCTCTCTCCTCATCCAAGATCTCATGAAACACCATACCGAACAATTGTTCAAAGATCCCGAGCATCCCATTCACAGTGGATCGCAGTGGGAAGTACTCCGATATCTTGGCCTGGTCCACTGCATAGTCTTGTTGTAAGAGCATATTATCGTAATATGGATTGTCCCAAGTGAAGTAGTGCCCATCAAAGTCTTCACCTTTCGCCTTAACATCGACCTTCTTAAGTCGGAGTAGGGTCTCAACGTCCTTACTCGCAGCCTCTGTCAACTTCGAGCGCAGAGAGCTCAAGAAGGAGTTCACCCTATCCGGTGTTTCTGCCATCTTGTCCTCCACGCTCAGCGTCGCATGGTTCGGGTAACCCAGCAAAAGTGCTGCTTCGTGACGGAGTTGCACAACTTCCTTGAAGATAGCAACATTCGCCGGACATCGGTTGTCGTATGCTAGCCTAGCTTTCTGACGGGTAGCTGGGTTCTTCACTGCCCTGAGAACGGAGCTCAGGTCCATGGGTATCTCAATCTTGAGCTTTCCCTCGTTCTCCGTGCCCGTCTGTCCCTTTTCAAGTTCAGACAGGGTGTTTTCCGGGAAGCCTTCGAGCTCATCGGGGGCGAAATAAATTGCGGTGTTATCCTCGGCCAAATTCTTCGAGTACTTGGATGTGAGAGCATCGATGCGACTGCGGATCTCCTTGAAACGGTCACGTCGTTCGCCAGATGGGATCCGAAGACCGTTCTTGACGAATTCTTTGTGCTTTTTGTTCAAAAGGTTCCGCGACTCCGGGTCGAGAGATTGTTTGTCTGCAGTGGCAAAGACAGAGTCGACCATTTTGAAGACGTCCTCATTCATTGATGCCTCTAATTGATAATCCCGAAGGATTGTCCGCGCTTGAGCCGCAGCATCGCGAACGTCTTTGTCGGGAGACACATCTCTGAGGAATATCAGCAGTGTCGCTTCTGAAGACAAAGCATTCTCGGCGTGAGCGAGGGGCAGTAGGGTGTTGGCAAATGTCGCGGAGGAGGGCGAGATGGTGTTGACGAGGTCCTTGTGGGCTTGCTTCGAAGTCTCAATAAGTTCGTTGATAGATTCGAGGATGGAAATCGGTGTTGTGGTGAACAGCGGGGGCAGCTGAGGCGGGTTGCGGGGTTTAGCAGAGGCCATGGTGAGACCCCAATTCAAATTTGAGACGTTAATAACTGAGGTGGTGTAGATGTTGTGAGCATGTTTTGGGAAGGACGGTCTTGGCGATCTTATAATACTCCACCTTCTAACTCTCAGGCAACACCAATTCTCCTCATTCCAGGCAGACGATTTCACGGAGCAGCCGGGTTTCCGAAAGGTGCAAGATAGGAAGGTGCGTTATGCATGCCCTGTAAAATGTTGTTGGTCCCAACATCGGTTGGAACTCCATCAATCGTGTCATTAAACACAACGGTTGGAGCTGTTGATTAGGCTTCGGAAAGCACCGACTTCGCACTAAACCCTGTCCACGGCTTCATTTCCAGGCTTCCCCGACACGAGCTAGTAGACCCTGCATACAGAGCCCGCAGGCAGCACTCATCCGCCATAACAGCCCCTCGCCGGCAACGGGAACTTCCCCTGCGGATGCAGAAACGATGCCGCCATAGCCGGCCAAAGAGGGTCTGTTGGTCTCCGGCGCTTGGGGCGGAATGAAGCGGAGGGGTTGGTGTGCCCTCGGATCCGGCGCGATCAGGCAACAAGTTTTGTATTTTCTAGAAGCCTTAAGTATTTCGATGGGAGCCTGCCCACCTGATAGTGGTATGTATTTTACAAACGGAATTTTAGGCTCCCGTAATGTGCCCATTAGCTGTTTGCATTCGTAAGGGCACGAGTCGCGGCCGTTTCCCGTCACTTCCAGCGAAGTCTTCTTCGTTAAATCAATCAAACGCTCACACCTGTATCCCAAATCCCAACCCATGACAAAGAAAACAAATGATGACGACGGCCAGATCATGTCTTGATGTCGACCTTCTGGTCCACCAAGACGCCCCGTCCTTGCGACAACTCAATTGCAGGTTCCGAAGATAAACTCTCAAAATCGCTCAACCCTGTCAAGTTCCGCCTCAGGGTCTTCGCACTCAAATGCTTGGTCGTTCTATCGATGGCGAGAATAACAAGGAAAATCAAGGCAACAGTAGGGAGTGTTGCCGCACTCTTGAGGTACTTGAAGATGAACTCTTCTGATGCCGCTCCAGCTGCCAGTCCGACGGCGAGTAACGCGGCAAGCCCTCGGCTCGCCACAGCTGCCTTGTCGAAGATGTTGAGAGGACGATCCTTGTGTCTAGTGATGAGGATGAAGATAGCAAAGAAGACGACCACAAACAGGAACGATGCCCAGTAGTAGATGTACACCGTCGTAAACGCTGGCTGGGCAATTTCGCCGGGATCGCTCTCCCCGCTTGAGCTCAGCCCGTTGTAGGACTCGAACAGCGTTCCGATCACCTTTTGGGTGAGAGCTTTGTAAGGCGGAGGTAGGAACAGGTCATCGCCATTGGTCGTATTTGCAGCTGAGCACACTCCAGTCATGTTGCCGATGTTGTAGATCTCCTGGTAAACAAAGGGAATCATATCGCGGACTTCGAGGCTGTTCGGCATGGTCAGGCTCTGAAATGAGGTGATTGTTGCGTTTGTAAGCGCAACTCCATCTTCGTTGAGGTTTACGCAGTGTTTGCGGAGGTCGTTGAAGAAATTGCCAAACTGGCTTAGAACCTGCCATGCGAGCGCAATCTGCTGGGAGCCTTCGACGACACCGATCATGCCGAGATGGAATGGGAAGTGGAGCACGGCCCAGATCTGCTGACGGACGGTACCGAACTTGCACTCGGGAGGATTGTCGAAGTAAAGCATCCAGCAGAACATCTTTATCCATGTTAGGTCGAGTCGTCGTAGGAGGTGGGAAGTGCTTACCAGGATGAAGACGATGCAACCGACAACAAGGCAAGCGTCTAGCCTAAGGCCAGTGTCACCCATCAGGTTGCCGACGGTCTTGGTTGCTCCAATGGCACCTTCGCCGATAATGACGAGGGTAAAGAGGCCCATTCTCTCCGTCAGATGCGTGTGCTTGAAGCCCATGTTCCGCCATATCGAAGAGATACCGAGAGTGATGGCTGCCTCGATAGCTAGAATGATGTACCAGACGTAGTAAATACCCAAGCCATTACCGGACTCCGGGGAAAACGCGGGGGTCATGGAGTAGAGGGCTCCACCAGAGAAGATGAAGAGAGTAATGGTCAGAGAGAGGGGCCATGTTAGGCTTTTTGTCTTCTTACGGACGAAGTGCAATGCGACAGAGTACTGGGCAACCAGCAGCAGTCTTGTAGCGAAGAGAATGTTGCAGAGAAGTTGGAAGCTCTATTCAATGATCAGAAATACGGTCGATCCTTGGAGTCAGTATAACTTACCGCATTGTTGTGTTCCTTTGTACCGGGACTAAACGATGACCCAACCAAAGCGAACCCGACGAACAGCAAGAACTGAATAATCTTGCACATCCGCTCGTAGCCGGAGTCTATTGAGAACCTGACATCGTGCAGCGTGATTTGGAACCACGTAAACCAGATGATACTGAAGAAGCCGAGATACGCCGTAAGACTGGTCAGGTTGGTGATGCTATGCGTCTGCGTAAACGTCTCGAGGTTCGCGACGAAGAAGAGATCGGAAAATAGCTCGATGGTGTTGGCATTGTGTCTGACAAAGAGCTTCACCTCGCCTGTGTCTTCGTCGGAAGAGATCACGGGGGTCTCGATCCAGGTGAGGGGCGTAATCTTCTCTTCCTGGAGGTAGTCTAGGCCCCTGGACGGCGGTTAGGCAGCTGCATGCGGGAGGATTCCATCGAGATGGGTGCATGTGCAAAACAACACAAGTGGCATGATGGGAATTACGCGAGGCGCTACTCTTTACTCACCAGCTGACTTCCGAGCTATCAGAATCGACCCGGCGCACCTGGCTGCTCGGGAGCTTCGCCATGATTGCGCGGCGATGGTGGACGTCGAGAACGCCACAAAATCCGTTTGTCAAAAAAGCCTCGTTGGTTGATGATTAGGAAATGTTTCTTGCGAGTCCGAAAGAGAGCTCAAAGAAACGAAGGGGAAGAGAGACGGCTCTCTCAATATGGGGATGGCATGTTGGGGGCGGTTGAATCCGAATGGTCCGTGTTACTGAACATCTCGGCGATATTCCAACGCTTCGACGAATAACGAGTCATCTTTACAGTGATCGTTTCCCTATTGCCCGTATCTACGTGGTCTGGATGCTGCGGAACATGGCTGTGTTTTGTGTTTAAGCTTTCCCGACACGGCGCTAATAAGGGGGAGACCCGCAATGGCGCCGGGGCTTCGCTCTCGGTCTCGGTCTCGGCGTGGAGCCAAGATTTCGGAGGGCCGTCTTTCACGGAGGTCTTCAAATATTAACTACATTCCGCCGGGTTCTCATCGAGCGGATGTGCATGTCAGAGACTGTTATGTTGATTCCCAGGAAAGATCGACCATCAGGATGTATTTCGAATGCATCTTCAAAACATTCAATGGTTGAGTTGCGAGTTTCCAACGAGGCACACACGAACGACGATCTACGACACCAACTACGATTTTGCATCCGCCGGATTTTTACCGAATACGTCGTATAACTCTACAAGTGGACCGGGCCGATTGAGACCATATTTGTCGCCCATTTTGGCATCAAAGCCCCGGCATTCATCACGGATTGGGTTCCCGAAATGCAACGAGCCCCTTTTGTACGAAAAGAATCGAACATATTGAACAAATGAAGATGTCTGGCGGAATACGAATACAAAGAAACGTTTCCTCTGAGTGGGAATCTACAGTTTACACGACTTGACAATCTTCTGCGTCAACTCCGAATACCCCTTGAAGGTATCTCCCATCTGCGCAACCTTCGCCTCGCCCATCGCCCTTCGTGCCTCTCCCGCAGAGCTGAAATGGTCGGCATTTCTGAATGAGCTGGCTATTCCGGCAGCCCCGAACAGTGTACCGAAGATCGTGTATCCGATACTGGAAGGGTCGTCTACCATGCTGTAGATGTCGAATGCGGCATTTCCTGCTTCGCCCGCGATCGCAATGGCTCTTGCCAGCGCTGCTAGGCCAGCTGCTCCAGCTAACTCCTCGCCGACGAAGGGAACGACGGCTAGAACAACAGTGACGATGAGGAGGATCAGATTCTTCTGTTCCTCTTCTTTCTCCGTCTCGCCGATGGACTTGACTTGCTCCATCGCCTTCACGGCCTGGAACGCCAGGGCCACAGGCATGGTGTAGACATCGACTATGTCCTCGATCGAACCGCCCCACTGTCCAAGCATGAGGTCTGTGAGAGTTGCATCGATACTGGTAGGCAAAGCCGTGAGGTTCGCTCCAGCCTCCGTGAAGAGATCCTTGGGGTTCGACACCGTAATATCATCCGCTTGTTGAGGGAAGTTGTCCATCTTGACGAGTTTGGCATGGCACGTGTCAATCGGCTGACCCTGAACCGTCTGCGGCGCGCAGTAAGGCGTGATATCTTGCTCAGCAAACTTGACCCAGCCCGGCTCAACGCCGTAAGTTGTGCCCAACACCGCGTGGAAGCCCGTTTCGTTGGTGAGAGTCCACTCGATCTCGACGTTTGTCGTGTATGAGTCGCCGGTGAGCGTGCTGGGGTTGGGGCAGTCGAAAGTGCTGGTACCGCCCTTGAAGTTGCAAGTGAAGTACGTGTAGCCATCAGACTTCATGAAACTCCAGATACTAGGCGCAACCAGTCCCTTGACGTACTTGACGTAGTACCCGAAGAGGCTGTCGTAGTTGTTGTTGGCATCGTTGAATTCGGAGAGTGTTGCAGTATGGTTGTTCGATAAGACACCCAAGGCGTACATCCCGGCACAGTAGGGCTCGTAAGAGTCGGCGGCGGCAGCCAGAGCCTCCAAAGAGTCAAAGGTCAGAGAGTAGTCGCAAGGAGGCTCGGCGGCCCCATCCCCATCACCGTCGTCGGAGCCACTGTAGCAAATGCACAGGCCGTAGTCGCAGGCAAAGCTGCAGATGGCTTCCAAGAACATGCTGGAGTCGTCGGCCAAAGTGACAGTAGAGTCGACATCACCCTCACTTGGAACAGAAGCATCGTCTAAGGAGAGCAACGTGCCGGTTCCGGTGCATCGG